GTCTTATTGCACAAATTAAAATCCAGCTACACGTATTTCTATTGATGTCATTTCCCCGCTAGAAAAATTGTGTGAGGCAAATAAGTTTAAATCAAATAAGCAAAAGAGGATTGAGTTAAAATAAATAAAAGGTATTCAAGCTACGTTTTGAGCATCCAAAATGCGCCCAACACTTCAAGCTGGCTGCTTGTGAGCTTTCAGGTCAGACGTGTTCGGACTGTCAGGAAGCGCCTCTGTTGTTTTCTTCTGCTGGTCTCTGTTTAATGGTGGATGAAATAAAGAAAGTGGCGGTGCTTTATTTACTTTGAGCAAGCGAATGTCGTGCTCACAAGATAAATAATCTACCAGATAATTCAGAGGTGGTCTGTTCAGTGAGTTTCACTCCAGGAGCTGATGATGAGCGCTAGTGTCATGGTAGTAGGGATGGGTACCGAATTCGATACTTTTTTAAGTACAGACCAAATTCTGTCAGTACTACTGAGAACCTATTCACGTAAGATCAAACGTTTCCATGTTTCAGTTCCTTAACGCATCATTGCAACCATATTGGCATAAGAGTGGTGAGTTTTCCATGCTTGTCCTGAATGCAACATCACACAAGAGCATAATGACATCAGCAGCCGCTGGTAAACAGAGCTCAGAACGTAGCTTGAAAGCTAGCGAGCCTCTCAGCCATCACAGGAGACGTCAGCAGCTTATCGAGGTTTTCGAGCAACAAGCCCCTTATACTTGTGAGCGGCTACGTATGAGGTGTTTTTGGGAAACTGTAGTCGGTGATTTTACCATTTTCTTTTACAACTTCGGTGAATTTAACAACTACTTCTACTTCCTGTTGTTTTCTTCTTCGACGTCATTTTCACCAGTAGAAACAGCCGGTTGTTGATCACGTGACTCCTGTGATGCGAAAAAAGTGTTTCCATAGCAGTTTTGTGAAATACACCAATTTCGATACAGCCGAAAAACCACCTCATCCTAGGGAAAAACCATTTTGTCGAAAAACATCAGTTTTTTCTAAATTGACGCGTTTTACATTGAGCAAATTTATTTTCGAAATTCTAATTCGCACATTTTCACGGTCAATGGAAACGCAGCTTGAGAGAGTAAAAACCATGGAAGCGTTTATAAACAGCTCACCCATCGCCACGTTGGTGCTCCAAGGTACTCTCATCCTAAAGATGTTGTGAGGAGGGGAGTGTTTCTGGAGGCTGTACCAAACACCGATCCGATCAGCATCTCGAGGATTCTCGAACTCAACAAAAACCTGGAATAAAAACATTCAGAGTCAAACAGGAAGTATTTAAAGTGCCTGTGACATGCATATTCTTCAAATACAAAACATCAAAGTAAATATATTTATTTTTAAGAAAGTTGGAATAATACACACAATTTTACCCATTTTGCCCTTTAATTGGCATATTTTCTTTTGAACTTGATTCAGCCTAAGTGAAACAGGAAGTGACATCAAAGGGGAATTCTTTAAGAAAACTCTCTGGTCTTTGTTTAATGAAACAATACTATTTGAACTCTTCTTCATCTCTCTCTGATGGTGACTCAAAATAATCTTAAGAAACATCAGATTGTTCTCTACAGTCTGTGTTGTAGCACTACTCTGTTCACATTCAGACATTCCCCTTCGACATCACTTCCTGTTACTTTACAGGCAAATATCTCAACAAATGTTCATCCCAGCAGCGTGAAATTTACTTTGCAATATTTTACCAATGTCATCTTTTCAAAAATGCATTCATATGTATTACAAAAATTTAACGTCACAGGCACTTTAAAACATGAAAACACATTTTTTGAGTGTTTATTGTGTTTTTTAATACCTTGTTGAGCAGAGGAAAGACGTTTTTCACAGATTGGATTTTCTTCAGCTCCTCCCTGAGATTCCTGACTTCGCTGGGCGAGATGTTCCTGATGTAGATTGTGCGCTCTTTGTCATCGCTCACTTTCTGCTCCAGAAAAACAAGCACACTGTTTTAACATTGGGACAGTATGTTTAAACACAACATATAATCTTAGGGCATGTTTTAATTGGCTAAGGCTCAGTCGGTAACACAGACAAACCTTTTAAAATTAAATTAATGTCAATCTAAGCCATGATTCAAAGTCAAACATAAAACAAGAGGACTGGAACAAATTTACTTACAAACTCAATCATTTCCATCAGAGATTTGTAAAATTCAAACTGAAACAACAAGAGGGGAGGGGAAGACATGCGGGTATCACAGGTTCAGAGCAATGAAGCTAAAACATTTTATATCCACTCTGTAAAAAGGGCGTTCACAAAACAAATCTCAAATCTTGAAAATAATCAGCCAGACAACTACATTTCTTTAACCGTCACAAGAGATTATTTAAAACATTTCATCTGTCATCCTATATTTTTAAGTCCTTCAACTCTCATGAAATGAAAGAAAAAAATCTATTTTCTTACCGGTGCCATGGAAAACTCTATCCTGACGATCTTTGCATACAGTTGGGATCCTTTGAGGGTAAAGAGTTTCTTTTGTGAAGCCACACAAACATCCCGTGCTTTTCCACGGTTCGGCATGAGCACAAATGCCTGAAAATAAACACACAAACAGTTACTGCAACAGTTCAATCCACTGATAACGTATTTCATACTGTGTCCTATAAATGTGGAGCGTTTTAGTTTCAACTGCTCAAAGCCAGATTTAAGAGAGTGTGGGCAACTTTTGGGGCCATATCAACTGTTTCTGACTCCTCCAAATTAAAAGACTGAGAATGTACTATTTAGAGGCTTTTAGTCACATAAAAGCAAAGCTCCTTTCAAAACACACACACAAAAAAAATCTACAAACTTAAAATTACTACATCATTTACTTGTTTTGCATTTTTTTGAATTATTAAGCAATAGAAACCTCCCAGAAATGTTTATGCGTTTGGTAAGTATAAAAGGTTTCAACTAATTAAAACTTTATTCTAGTGATCCAGACTTGAAACTCAATGGAAAACATTCATTCATTTAAAGCAATAAAACTAATTAGTAGGGGTGTAAATAAATATTAATAGACTGAAATATCACAATATTTCATTTCCTGATACTGTATGGATTTTTGATTAAGGCATAATAGATGGAAGCTGTAAGAGGAAATATTTAATACAAATACAGTTCTCACTGTTGTTCATAACAATAAACTGATTATAACGCATGGTGATATATTTTAAAACTAAACTCTTTTAGAGAAAACCAAAGGAAATATATCACATTGCTAACAGGATTGCAATATTTTATGATATATTGTGATATGTATCATATCACCAAATTCTTGACAATACAGTACACAGCCCTAGTAATTTGGACCCAGGACCAACTCTGTTCATTTCCTTGAAAAAGGGGTCAGTGTTGCCAGATTGGGCTGGTTTCTGCCCAACTGGGCTGCTTTTGAACACGATGGGCTGGAAAAAACAGCTTTGGGCTGGTTGTTAAAATTTGGGCTGCTTTTTACCACATTTGGCGGGTTTTTTGAAAGTATTCATAAGGAAATTATATCAAACTATCAAGTGTCACTACGAAATGATATTGGTTAATATCAACTGTAAATGCACAAAATAGAAAGGAAACTGGGTTTCTGAGGACCTACCCCCTCCTTCTGCAACACAATTTGAGGGCTATTACACACACACACACACACACACACACACACACACACACACACACACACACACACACACACAATGTAAATAGTTCCACGTCTTTAACATAAGTCTCAACGGACGTTAAGATTTGGGCTGTTTTTTTGTGGTTGGGCGAGTTTTACGTTGCATTTGGGCTGGAAACTGTCAGTCCAATCTGGCAACCCTGGGAGGGGTTTAATTGTACTAAAACCAGCCAACAGTAAAAGTTAGCCGCAGTCTGGTTTAAACTTCCAGGTTTAGGCTAGAGATATGTTATTCCATATTATTCAAGAGTTATAAATCAGCAGGAAAAAGATTTAAAACCTACCACGCATTTCTGAGGGATAACATATATGTGGTCGTTCTCGTAAATGAATCCAAACTTGTAGAACAGACTGGCAACGTCCTTCTCTGTGTAGCAGCCGTCGTGATACGATGGCAGGTTGGTTATTAAAACCAGGCCTAAGTTAATGAGCTGAGAGACGACAATGCAACAGAAAAACATTTTAACAGCTATACGAAAAAAGACAATCATTAGCATTCAAATAAACACAGCTTTAAAGAAATTAATAGTTTTAATACGTTTAAAAAGAAGTTACTCAATATTCATTAAAGTCACAATGTTCCTCATGCAGTGAGAATGGGTAGGAGATCTCTTCAGGACATTGCCAACATATTCAACTTTGTCCTTGTTATGAATTTCAGGCAAGAAAGAACTCATGGCGCAGGCTGATTAAAGGCTCCAAAAAACAAAGTATTTATTAACAAAAAGGTGCTGACGGGGTAGCTCAAAAAACTTAAGAGTGGCATGGCAAGACAAGGCACAATACATAACAATACCAAACATACAGGCTGTGAACAGCACATTGGGCCTCATGCAAGAACCGTTCGTACGCACAGATTTGTTCTTAAGTTGTGCGTACGAGTGATTTAGGAGAATTTGTGACATTCACCAATGTTTTCGTATTCTAAGATTTTTTTCAGATACGAACAAAATTTACGAGTGGTCCAGACCTGTCGTATATTTTACGAGCAGTCTGCTGTTATCCAGACGGGTTTTCCTCACTAATAACTTTATATTTCGTTAGTTTGAAGACATTTTGAGTTGAAAATAAATC